TGTTGTTAAAAAACAAACCAATACAATACGTAATAACAATACATGATAATATATCTTACCCTCTCCACCTCTTTAAAAAGAATTAAACTTAGCAGAGTTTTAAAAATATAGTCTGTTAAAATCTATTAATAATAACAATAACAAAACTTCAGAGGAGTTTTTCCATGGACATCCTCTGAGGCTGAGAGAGTGTGGCTCGCCCAGGATCACCCAGTGGGCTTCCACGGCCAAGCCAGCATTCGAACCCTGGTCTCCAGAGTCACAGTCCAACACTCAAACCACTACACCACACGGGCTCTCAAAAATACATAAACCTGCAGTTGAAAATACAAGACTACAAAATCATTAAAATGCACTCATGAGAGTTCGTATAAAAAAGACCCCGTCAGAGCGACCAGGTGTCCTCCTTATCCAGGACGTGTCCTACATTTCAGCCTACCAGCCAGGAGGAATTTCCAAATGTCCTCCATTCTGAGCACGACTAAGAAGCATGCATTTATTTATATGAGTGTTGTTAGCTTTTATTTTGTCATGGCCTACATTTTCTTCTTGAATGCCCTACATTTTGTGGTGCCTTGTCCTCCTTTGTGGTTAGGATATCTGATCACCCTGGACACAATGCACCATCCCTAAATAGAGACTCAGGGTGCGTCTACATTGTAGAAATAATGCAGTTCGACACCATTTTAAGAGCTATAGCTCCATCCTATGGAATGCTATGATTTATAATTTTTACAAAGTCTTTGGCCTTCTCTGCCAAAGAGTTCTGGTGCCTCCCCAAACTACAAATCCCAGATCTCTGTAGGATGAAGCCATGGCAGTTAAAGTGTCCAACTGTATTATTTCTACAGTGTAGAAAATACACTCTTAGAACCATCTATTTAAGGGGATGAGCCTTCACACGCCTTCCTTCTGGAAAGTAATTTCCAGTGTCCTTGCCTAGTAAACACCCCACTGTCCATGGTCAGAAGAAAGTGGGCTCAGGTCCAGGTTACTTGAAGGAATCTACCTCTATGAACCTGTTCCAGCTCTAAAACCTTCAGGAAAGGCCCTTTGCAGCTCCCTGGTTGGGAACAAGGGAGAAGGCCTTCTTGGTGGCTGTTCCCAAAATTAGGAACTCTCTCCCTAGGAGGGCTCCTTCCTTGCTCTTCATCCTGTTTCATCAGGCTTTCGGGAATTTACTGCTGTGGACCTTTTTTTTTTTTTAAATGATGTGCTGTTTGGTTGATTTTTTTAAAAAAAATATTCTGTCTTTTAATATATTTTAAATGGTTCTGAATCTACAGATTCAGCTGTTTAACTCAGCTGCTTTTAAAATTGTTTAAATGGATAGATATGCAATGTTTTGGTATGTTTCAATGATTTGCAAGCTGCCTTGAGTCCCGTTATTGGGAAAAGGTGGGATGCAAATGAAGAAAATAATGATGATAACATTTCCCATTTACAAGGAAATATTTTGGCTTTCAATTGAACTACTTTTCTAACTTAGGCTGAGGATTTGCATATCTAGCAATGCCATTCTTCCAGGCCGCAGTTGTGTGTATGTGTGTGTGTGTTTGTGTGCCTTCAAGATGCCTATCGACTTATGGCAACCCCATGAATTTCCTAGGGTTTTCTTAGGCAAGGAATACTCACAGGTGGTTTTGTCCGCCCCTTCCTCTGAAATATAGCCTACAGCACCTGGTATTCATTGGTGGCC